AGGGGGTTGGACTTGATGATCTGCTTAGGTCCCTTCCGACCCTACCAGCTATGAAACTATGAGAATGCAGTAAGATTTCCAAGAATTAGGAATTTGATAAGAGCATAACTCAAGAACAGGAGTTATTGAGAAATATGTTGCTGAAGTAACAGCGATCTTCAGTGGGCCAGAGAAAGCCACCATGTCCCACCAGGATATTGTCAGTAGCAATTTTTGTCATTTACAATATTGTTTTCCTTAACATGGTATATATACAGCATATATTATTGTTACAAGAGCATATGCAAAATCATTGGCTATGAATAAGGCCTGAACATTTTGTTATGTCAGTCAACTCAGAGATGTCTGTAGCTATGGTAGCCTTATTTCAGTTCTGTAAAGCATATGGTTTTTAGTTTCTTGGGTTGCTCTGTGTCTTTACAAGAAAGTGTATTTCAGTCAAGATCTCTTATACTTGCATTCAAGATTGTCAGCAAACGAAGGGTAAAATAAGAGAATCTGAGAGTTCAGTGCCCCATGAACAAATTAATAATGGCAGAGGATAGTGCTGGACTGTAAAATTAAATCTAATTCAGCCATGCATCACAGGCTTTAATCTGTTGCATCCTTCCATCCTATGTAGGTAAAAATACAGTAAATAGCTTCTTTTTTACTTATATTTTCAGCCATTTTATATTTGTGCATATTACATTACCTGGCAGTAGGGTTTTTTGTTTATTTTTAACATTGAACTTAAATTTGATGCAAATAAGAACTGATTAGTGATGTTTGTTTTTAAGGGTTAACTTTCAGTCCTTTAAGCATTTATTATTTTTCTGGCTGCTGTTTTCTATCAGTGGAACTTCATGGTTTCTGGTACATTAAACTGCTTCAGTCACATAGTCTACTGACATCTCTTCATTACAGTGATATCAAATGTGGCATTCTAGTTTTTAAACGCTATTTTCAACTCAATTTTGCATGGAAGATTGCAGATTAAAAATATGTATCAAGTTACAAAATGAATATTCAAAGTCCATAGTTACTGAAGGCAAATAAATGTTGTACAATGATCTAAAATAAAAAAGACAGTTGTAACTGTCCCATGATGTATGTAACTGACTGACTTAGAGCAGGAGGGTAAGCTTTTACGCCCCCTAAATTTTTTCCCCCATATATTTCCAGAAGACTACTTCATTTTACCACCTGAATTACCTGCGGTTTTTATGGGGCAGGTTCCAAGTGTAAGATGCCAAAAGTAATGCTTGGATTTTTAAGCTAAAAACAATTATTTGATCAATGAGTAGCAGAAGCTGTTACTTTGTTCCAGTCAAGGATGATTTTACCTTCCAAGTACATCCTTTAGCCTGACTTGGTGGAAGTCTTTCCAAAATGAAAAGCTCATTATTTAAGAATGATGTTCCACTCTGTGCTTAGAGGCTCAGTAATTTTCCTG